TGTCCTTTAACTGTCAAGGACTACTGAAAATGTCCTCACTCTGCGAGGTCTTCCCTTCCTCACTCTACCCTCAAACCCATCCCTAAGGGACAGGAAGTTGTCCCTCATCCATCCTTGGCCTCCGTAGCACTCACATACATCAGCTCAAGGCTCTATTGTGGTGCGCTGACTTTGGTCATCAGGCATCAGCCTCCCTATCAGCTCCTTGAAGACAGGGGCCTTTGTCAGGGCTTTGGCCAACCCTCTGCCCAGCCCAAAGCTCTCGAAGTCCCTGCCCCCCAGTGATGCCAATCAGTGCTCTCCTGCTGATTGGCTAATAACCTGTGAGCCCCAGAGGAGTCATCTGACCTAACTGGGCAGCAGGTGCATCTCTAAGAGGAAAATCATTGCCCCTGCCTCTTTGGTTCTGGAGTAGATTACGCATCTCTAAGAGGAAAATCATTGCTCCTGCCTCTTTGGTTCTGGAGTAGATTACAGCTGGAGCAAGGCAGACATAGGGCTAGGAATTGTAGCAACAAGATAGAAAGTGAGAGTTCAGCCCTCTATGTTGTGAGACCTTTCACTCATTTATTCTTTGCAACAATCCCTCAAGGTAGGTACTATTGTTCAACTCATTTTGCGGATGTGGAAACTTAAGGTACAGAGAAGTTAAATAAATTCCCCAAGGTTATGTGGCTAGTAGCCACGAAGCCAGGATCTGAATGCAGGTGATACTCACTCCAGAGCCCTTGTCCTTAACTACCATGCTGTCCTAGAGACTATTCCTTACCACTGTAGGCAGGACATTAGCACACACCAGCTGGCTCCCTGGCATGCTTGCCATACCTCTGAGTGGCCAGAATTCTGGCCCTGATTGCTGTACACTCTGATTCTGTTGGCAGTCTGCTCCTTTGGGAGAAGGAGCTTTAGAGAAACCAGCCGTCTTGGGAGTCCTAGCCGGCACCTTGAGCCTGAGAAGCTGCCTCCCCTCACTGCCATGGGCTCTTCCCCAACTGTGCCATCCACTTGTGCTTTAGGCAAAACCCAGGAGTCATCCCGGGGACTCCTGGGCAAGGAGGAAGGCCGGGAGTCAGCCTCCATCTGGCCTGGCCTTAGCATCTGGCCAGATGTTCTCTGAAGGTCAGAGGAAAAGAGGGTCCTGGAACCTTTTTAGTGAGTCTGAGGTGCAGGGAGTAGATAGTCGTAGGGAAAATACCATTTTACCATAAGGACATTTGCACTAGAGTGTTTATCGCAGCTCAACTCACAAATGGGTAAATAAACTATGGTATATGCAGACCATGGAATACTATTCAGCCAAAAAAAAGATGGAAACTTTACATCTTTTTGTAATTACCTGGATGGATTTGGAGAACATCCTCCTGAGTATTACAAGAATGGAAAAGCAAGTGTCCAGTGTACTCAGTACTAATATGAAACTGCATGCCCACACAAGGAAAAAAAAAAACAGTTAAATTCAAGTAGAGGTAGGGGAAAGGGTGGGAGGGGGAGGAGGTTTGGTGTGTTCTCACCTAACAGGTGCCATGTAGGGGGTATATGGCACACCTCTTGGGTGAAGGGCTCAACTACAACCTGGACTTTACCTAACAAATGCAAACAAAGTAGCCTGATCGTTTGTACCCTTATATTACTCTGAAATTTAGAAAAGAAAGTTGGAGAAACTGTTACCATGTTGATAGAGGCCTGTTACCAAATCTAGAAAGCAGGGGCTGGCTGCTGCTCTTCAGGGGTCAGCAAGCGGGCTGTAGTTTTCTAGAGAAATAGAACTAAAAAGAACAGACAATTCAAAGAGGTCTGTGGAAAGGCAGGCAGGTCAGAGGGGTATTCTCGTAAGTCAGAGGAACCATGACTGCAGCTTCCACATTCTTGGGGCAGGTATATAGAGAATTTAGAAGTAGGTCAGTGCCTGAAGGCCATGACTGGGAGAGCGAACCAAGTTCTAATCCTGCCTCTGCCCTGGCTAGATTGCAGGGCTCACTACCTTTGAGTTCCAGTTTCTGTAGCTGAACATCAAGGGAATTAGAATAGCTGATCAAGGAGACAGTTGTGCATTCTGGTTAAGAGAGCTCAGGCTTTGGCTTGGCACCTGTAGCTCTGCAGCTAGGGCGCCAGCCACATACACTTGGGCTGGTGGGTTCGAACCCATCCCAGGCCTGCCAAACAACAACAACAACTACAACAAAAAAATAGCCAGGCATTGTGGTGGGCGCCTGTAGTCCCAGCTACTTGGGAGGCTGAGGCAAGAGAATTGTTTGAGCCTAGGAGTTTGAGGTTGCTGTGAGCT